AATTAATTAAAGGGTTATTTTCACCCTTCTTCTTGAGTCAGTAGTTTTCTTCACGCCTGTGTGAGAATTCGCCAGCTCATTTTAGGATCTACTTTAGTTTATGTGGAACAAGAAAGTAAGACTATAGAGTCACATTCAAAATGGAAGCTATAATCAACTTAGTTAAGTTAGGTATTTTTGAAGTCTTAACTTATGATACATGGTAGAAAATAAAAATAGGCTTATAAGGTATTTTCTCCCTTCTTTCTGCATGCCTTCGACCTGTAAAGGTAGCACACTCAGCACGTATTCGAGAGGTCCAGGTTCGTGTCCTAACGAAAGGGTTGCTCATTTTTCATTTCTCCAGCATCAGATAACCTAATAAATCTACAGTGGATTAGCGCCCGAACTAAAAGTGGTGGATGATGATTCTTCACCACCAGGATTTGGCGATTGGGTCCCCTAATTCTCTTTTCAAATAATTGCCACCAAGTATTATCGCCCTGTATTATATTTAAAGAAATTAAATTATGAAAAATCTGCATGATTGTATGCAGGTTTCTCGCATTGTGAAAAAACAATGATATCTAGAGCCATCAAATTTTGAATAACGTACTCGTTTACCCGAATATGGGCACTTGGAAGCCCCAATTCTGAATATGTTTTATTATCTATTGCATATTCTGTAAAACTCTAACGAATTTTTGATTAAAAGACTCAATTTCAAAGCGAGCAATGTACGGAATAAAACATTTTTATCTCAAGCGTGCGAGACTGTCTATCGGAAATTCTTCAATTATACTGTTTTTAAATATTTTTAGCCCAAAGGAACGTTAGCTTAAATGCTCTCGAAAAGTGTATGTGTCTACAAATGAAAAAAAAAAAAAAAAAAAAAAAAAGTACTTTTTGGGCGTAATATAAAATCTGAAAGCTTTCAGATCTTTTTTATTGTTTGACTTTGATTTTTTTTGTTTTTGTTTTTTACGTGTATGTGTGTGTGTGTAATGTGACGCAGACATAGGAAGACCGGAAAGGCAAGCGATAAAAGATTTTTACTTGGTGCCTGAATTAACCGTGCAAGCAGAATTCTAGAAAATTGCGCCATTGGCTCAGAGCTACAGCAAGTGTTTCTGAATCTGATAGCCTTTAAGATGGCATCTATTCCAAAATACACACATTTTTTTTAAACATTTGTACAGGAAAATAAAGGTTATCCCAGAATGGAAGGAATACAGTAATTAAAAAGACTACGTTATTAGCAGAGACTGTTACTGACAAAATTTAAAAAGTTAATTATTATAAAGGATATTTTTCCACTGTAAATAATCAAGATAATGTCTCGTGATTCTTCTTTATCATATCAAATAATTATAAAATTCATCCAATTCTCCACATCATTCACTTTCAAGCTTTTAGTTCCTATTAGTATAAATCTGTTGTTCAATACTCAAAGTTTCTGTTTCTGATTTTTATGCTAGAAATTTTGTAATTTTTCTTGTCAGAATGTTTATTATTTCTCTGGGTAAATTAAGAGATAAAAATTTTCATTAAAGAATATGAGTCTTATGTTAGAAAACAGGAGAAGAAGGAGAAAATACTTTCAGAACTAATGATTTAAATATTCATTTAACTTATGCTGTTAAAATTAACTTCAAAATAAGCTATTAAACTTGCCCAAAAGATCTTTTTAGTTAATGGCTTTAAAAGCTTCAGTTTCAGAATTTATCTTTCGTTTGATTTTTATTTTGTTCTGCGCTAAATTTTATATAGCTTATTTAAATGACGTATATCTTATGCAGAAACACATTTCTGTCTTATGCAGAAAAATCTTTTGTTTTTTGGAAAAGAGAGGTCTCATCTCCGTCACCTTCAAAATACGCAGAGTTTTGTTTCAAAATCAAATAGAATCTAAAATAGAATTTTACCTTAATTATGTGAATCACATTATTTCGCTTTCCTTTCAGGAATTTCCTTTGTTAATAATAAGAAAAAAAATTAGCTCCTTTAATCATGTCGAATTTGGTATTCAGAATTTTATCAAAAATTTCCTGTCTAATAAATTAATTAATTACCAGAATAAAAATTACAAGAAAATTACAAGAAAAAAGTGTTTTCAGGACATGACAAAACTGCATGACATGACAAAATCGCATGACGAAACCGAACATGTTACTGATGTTTTTGTCATTTGTTATACGCGATTTAAAACACTAAGTTTTAGAAAAATGAATTGTCAACAAAGTAATTAGCTTAGTTTGTGATAAATATGAAAAGGTATTTTAGCAGAACAACAAGCATTACAACTTGTATAGAAGTAAACAGGTATTACCAGTAAACAGGTATTAAGCAAAATTATATTTCAAAGCAAGTATAATTTTGTTTTGTTACATTAGTTTACGATCTATCCAAATGCTTTCTTAGAAACAACAATGGAGGAAAAATCAATCGCATTAGCTTTACTTTAAATTGAAAAATCAGCTATGTTCAATGTCTATTAAGAAATAAAGTTAAATCCCACTACAGCGAACTCGGTCTACAACGAATCCCCGGATATAACGAACGAATGCTTTAGTTCCGTCAAATTTCCAATGCACTTAATGTTATTTTATTTGAACATAGCGAACTTCCAAACATATGAATATCAGATGTAACGAATTTCAGAGATATCTTCGACTGAAATGTTTTTTCGTATTTTTCAGAATTTAGTATTCCAGAATTTTTGCAACTTGCAAAAATTATTTACAATTAAAAACAAAAGTTATTAACTATTAAATATTGAATGTAAAAAATATAAAAATATTAACAGCGAAATGTCACCAGTCTTTAAAATCATTCGTGTTTAGGATGTTAGGATTCCATCCTTATTGCAATAGCGGAAACCTCTTTAATATTACTCCTTTTTTTTATCGTCGCTCTTATCTTTTTTCTCGTATTCTAATCAAAGGCTATAGGAAGCAGGTGTAATGTCTAGTTTTTGGAGAACCAGAATAAAACATAAGCATGTCTTAGGCCATTATATGGCGTCCTTCAAATGGGCTGTATGATTCCATTGAAGCTCTTTGACCGAGCTGTCAAGCAGAGCTCTGTTCAAGGCTGATGCTATGATGGAAACTTTGAAACTTTTTATTTTCAGGAAAATTAGTAGAAGCTAAATTCTTATAATCTTGGGGTTGTACAGGGAATTCATCTTTTACGCAAAGCAAATTTTTGATCCATATCGGTTTCAAAAATTTAAAACGCTGTTTAAGTTTTTCCTTTTGAATGGGAGACGGTTAGCATTCTTCAGATCTTTTGCAAGATTTATGACATTTTTTCTAACGCTGTCTCAAATTTACTGCAGTTAATTTGCAGCAATACATATCTTGAAGGAAATGGATGCTTTCTTACTAGACTGTGAATTGGACGGATTATTGAAGAAAATATCTTCATTTTATATATCATCCAGTGGCATCCTAGGATGCCGTTTATTGTTCTGGCAGAGATCTATACCCTGATGGTCTCGGCACCGGGTGTATAAAATACTCTAGGCCCGTTCCTACTAAAAGAGCTACCTAGGCTTTCCAGGGGGTAATAGTGAGTAGCATGATCCGAGTGGGTAACGTAACCACCAGTATTTTCTTCACCAGTTTCATTGGCTCCGTATCCTGGGTTGAGAGAGAAATTCTAGCGTCCAAGGATTTGGTCTGGTTCAAAATACGTTCGAAAATTTTTATCGGCCTCTTGATAATGGTGCGTCCGGGATGATGCGGCGTAGCTGAGTTTCTACAATTATCACACAAAAAGGAGTTACCGAACCTGCTCTTCCGCCTAATACGAAGAACTGAAAAACGGATGAGTGCCCGCAGTTGTGTTTATTTGTGGGAGCGGTTTATCAAATTCGACTGCTATCTTCCAGAGGGGCGAAATTTCGTATACTTTTTTTTTTTTTTGTTTAATTCTACTTCACTTTGTACCGGTGAAATTTTCGGTGTCTAAACTACATCTCCATGCCAAAGCAATCAAAATACATAGTCTTGCCCTGAAAGTAAGGTGAGCATTATTCGAAAAATACACAATGAATGCACCGAAATCGATATGTGTGGAAATACAATTTATGTAAATCTGAAGTTCTGGCTATGTGGAAAAATTGAAATCCGGTCACTTCTACTCACGGAAAAAAGATCTGGATACGACGGAAAAATTAAAAATGACCGAAAATAAGGATGTTGAAGAAGCACTACTGAAAGTGTTAACCATTCACAGAAGCTGCAATCAGCTATTACCCGGACAAATGTTAATTATAAACTAGCGGGATGAAGCCCGCTTTCGTTCGCCTGAATTCGAAAGTTCGACCGAACTAACAGTGTTCAGCGCTTTTACGGGGAAAACGATTCAGCGAAGTGTTGAGCGATTTTACGGGAGTTTTCAGCTCCCGGTCGTCGTACCCGGGCTAGCGGGAAAGCCCGCTTTATTCACGTATGCATCCACATGATACTGCATACACCTATGGAAAAACACTCTAGGGAGATCTATCTAATTTTAGAGATGCCTTCGTGAAGGACTTTTTAAGCCCGTCAGCTGAGCGGGCTGAAGCTCGCTTTCGTTCGCCGGGAATCGAAAGTTGGACTGAACTACCAGTGTTCAGCGAAATTCTTGCAAAAATTCTGCCAATTCCAGAATTTTTGCTCCTGATGAAGGGGGACCCGTTTTGTTCTCGAAATCGTTTGGGATTTTACAAAATCTGCGCCGAATACAAGGTTGTCGATTTTCCAGTTTTATTTTCCACGTCAGCGTGTTTCTCTTGCGTCTTGACAGACTCATTTGCTTACAAAGCGCAACTTGCTATTTTATGGTATGTTAAAATGGATATGGTTTGCGAGCAAAAGCATCCGTATTAAAATAATACCAGTTAACAGTGAATGATGATACAAGTAAAAACGTTTGACTCAGAATGTTTAACTTTTCGGAAATAAATTTAATAAAGTATCAACACCCATGTTTTGATATAAAACCGTGAATGAAATTCAGGCCACCAAGAAAAGAACAATTTTTTAGAGCTTTATTTTAAAGTGGAGAAACTAAAATACAGTGGATAACTGTCTATAATATCTAATTCATATAACTGGCATTATCTGAAAATATAAGAGAATTATTAAAAGTATATAGATCCATATGCTTTGCCAAATTTGAATATAACTGCTAAATACTGAGTAGTCAGATTGAAGTTTCTTTTCCATGTTAACAAAACAGTTATCTATCTATGTCAACAAAATAGTTATCTTTTCATGTTAACAAAACGGTTATCTTTTTATCTCATGTTTTACTTTTTCACACGTTACATATCATGCAAAATAAAATATATTAAGAGACAATTAGACTTTTATTTTGAAGTAATGAACGACTTTGCTCGTGTGAAGTAGCAAAAATAAAGAGTTTGAACGTCTGAAGTCAGAAAGTACCAAATGAAAATCATGTGAAGAAAATTTATTGCCTTTATTATTAACATAGAGGATAAGGTTTGAAAGTTTAAAGTGAATCTATACTATACAAAACTCCACCTACCAATAGTTTTTGGCTCTTTTTACAACTAATATTATCAGAAAAACATGTTCGAATCAAATATATCGAACAGTTTCCTTTAATTCATATGAAAAGAATATCTTATTTCGAAACTGAAAATATAAAAAAATTGCTAAAAAGTGTGAAAATTCTGATAATGAATAAGTGTTGATAAAATAATGTGAATAGATGATTTCCGTCACAGCTGCGCTAATGGAAGTTTAAATAAATAAAAACTATAATAAAATTAATAATTGTTGCATAAAAACTGAAGCACATAATGGAAATTGATTTTTCTGTGCTTCCTTCAGACCTCATTCCATACTTTACATTAAAATATAAAAAAAGTTTGTTATTTTTCTATAATATTGCGATCAATTTAAACACTTTTAAGCATTTTATTCTGTTATATATTTGTATTATGACAACAGTGGTAAGCATGCTACTTGAGAAAGAGGAATGACGTCACAAGCTACACCTCTTTTGACTCAAGCAGCGTGCCTACTACTTATGACCACTACAAGTACTATTTCAAAGTGCTTAACATATAAGCAAAGAATAAATAGGAAAAATTTCAGATTCCTTGTCAAAGCGAATTTCAATCGACAAAGTAATGGTCCTTGTATCATTTTATTGGCAATTTAAACCTCATCTCACAGCATGAAATATATACGCAAAAACACATATATCACATCTGTAATTTATTTCCCTTGGCTTTCTAAGAAACTACAATTGTATTATTTTTTTCCTGACAAATAATGGAAAAAGCTACAATACAGTTCTTTTCTTGCCATTCTCCCATTGGTGGCTTTCTCTTTTGACTACGTGGAGTGAGAATAATATGAATAAGCGTTCTTGACTAAATCAAGTGAAGATTGCCGCTAAAAGTAAAAATTGTAAAATTCATCCTCCTAGCCTATAGTCATTCTAGGAAGCTACCTTTGCCTGAAGATTTTGCATTGTCAACTTCTAATCCTGGTTTCCCAATAAAACGTAAGAAACAAATTTGCTATTCTTTTACAAGTGAGCTAATTTTTTTTCCACAAATTTCCATATTATGTTGTGTGCAGTCTGGAATTGATTGATCTTACGTTTCAAGGCTATAATTATCATTATTATGATAAACAAAGTGTGGCGAATTGATAGACTAGCTACTCTTTATTTCTAGAGCAGGCTACTTAAGCAAATAACGATGATTCGATTTCAGTTTTCAACAACCAAAATAAATGAAAATGATTTTATACCAGTTTAAAAAAAATCATAGAATACGTTCTGTAGTTTCGTGTAATCACCCACTTAATTTCTAACAAAACATCGTTTGAATGAAATGAAAATTGCGAAGATGGAATTTTTCCCATTTACTACTGCTGTTGATGGCAATGGTAAATATGTGTGATTTTAGTTCCTTGTGTCTTCCTTTCCTGGTTTCATTTTAAGTCTTCCTCATGTAAAATATGAACTTCATATATCAACACATGAATCTATAGAAAACGGCCACACCAGAAATGAAGGAACCTTGAAATTAAAATGAAAGGGACGATTTCGTAAATGGGGTGGGTTCGGGAAAACGATCATATACAGTACAATTAAATTACATATCATGCCCTACACACCATCACAGTCCGCGATTTCTGAAAAGTGGAGTAACGTTGACCTTTCTGTCTTCACACATTTTCTTCTGATATGATCAATTAGTCCACCATTGCTGACCCCGAGGAAAGCAAAGGTTTTGTGTTCATATCAAAACTCTTCTTCAACGTCGGCAGTATTTGTTATCTTTTTTATACTTTCCAAAATAGATAAATTTTAATCGTTAGACAAACATTTTATATGATGTTTTGCAGAGAATGAAAACAAACCTAAATATATATTATTTATATATATATAATCCTCCCTCACTCTCTGTCTCATATATTTTTATATATATATATATGTATATAAGCGCCTCTGTTTCGCCGAAGAACACCTATTCCCATATGTGGCAGCCATCGGCAGGCGTTGAAGCACCAAACTACGAACGAACTATGATGTGATGAAGACCCAATGTCAGGAAGGGAACATCACATACAACGCAATGGCTGATCACACGCATAAATGAAGAAGGCCGGCCGCCGTTCCACCGGATGTTGGATGGGTGTTCCGGGCGACGGGGGCCTGTGGTAATAATTTAATAGTAAGTTTCTCTCTCCACCCATCCGCCTGGATTGCGCCTCAAAATTAAGCGACGTGTTTCGTCGTACACAAAAATCAGGAGGGAAAATGGTAAGGCTGGAAACCACCAGTTGATCCTGAAAGAGAAGAACAATATATTAGAAAAATAACTTCATACAAAATCAATCATAAAAGTGCAGAGCTTCTCACTTGGATCATCACTAAGGCCTATTATTCTCCAAGAAATCATTAAGGAATCTCAGAAATACAGTGACTGAAAAAAATCAACTATAATCATATCTGTAAACATTAATTGCCCTTTAGTTTCAACAACAAAAGTTAACACTAGTTTACAACACTAGTAGTTAGTTACCAACAAAAGTTAACACTAGTAGTATTAAAGTAACACAATTTAACAAAAGTATATAGAAATTCAGCGTATTTCCAAAATGTATAAAGGGTAATATGCAGAAAAAATTTTCATGTAGAAACCGACCGTCTGCATTGATTCCCCATTTGATGCAATATATATAAATAAGAAGAGCAGACCACAGCACTATAAACTGTTATGCTGGTTTGGGAATTATTAATGTCTTATTCTAAGTTTTTGCAATCTTGATGAAAAGTGGTACTGTCATTAGTGACAAGAAATTGATTCAAAATAAATAAATGAAATAAATGATGTGAGCTGAAGGCACTGGGGTGACTGTTTGAAAAATAGAATCGATATCGAGAATGGAATTGAGGCAGTCTCATAAGGAAGTTTGCAGATCTCTAAATATGCCCCAATGTGTAAACTCCAGAGTATGCAGAAGGTTTTGGAGCACTGAAGAGGTTCAGTGTTAATCAATACAATGTGACTGAATAGTTAGTTATAAGTTCTTCACACGACAGATATATTGCATTAGTTACGCGACGTATCAGCGTGATGGTCGCAAATGGTTTGTTAGACCGATAGCCATCATCAAATGTTTTTATGAGTATCAGAAAAGCTAATAATTTTGCAAAATGTTAAGCAGTCGGTCGCTCGCTTGTTCAAGTCCATAAAATACATTCATGTTTACAATACAATATGAAGATATGGAGACTGAAATTGGATTCTTGAATGAAGTAATGTTCTTTTTACAAGTAAGTAGAGGTTGAATCCATTAATTGATACTCCTTGCCCCACTATTTGGAGAAGAACAAGAATAAGTTACCATAACTTCACTGCAAGAAGAGGCCCTAATATTGTAAAGATATCAGGATATTTTTTGGAAACATTCAAGATGAAAAATAGCAAACACCGCCGGGAATCGAACCACGGACCTCTGAAATACCAGCTCAGTGTGCTGACCACTACACCACGAAGATAGGTTAGGAAGGTGGGAGAATACCTTATAATATATAAGGTATTTCAGAGGTGATTGTTTTAAAAATATAGGTGGGCTTAATATTGGACGTATGTAGAAAGCTCCACATTTTAACCTGTCATAATGAAATCTTGGTTTCGCATTCCCCAAAAGTTGTTTGTCTACTATTCATACTAAAAAGGTTATATTAAACTTTCTAAGCGATCTCGAATGGTCAATGAGTTTATTCAAAAGTGAATATTTTCAATGAAAGCAAGAACCAGAAGTCCCTGATGAGAATAATACCTAGAGCATTTAGTAGGATGCATTTAGGAGGCAAACAGTTGTCAGCCAGCCTCATCAAAGATTCTTATTGAGTTGATAATAGATCTAATTGAAAAAATGGTTCATTTTCAATATATATGATGAAAACTTACAGAAATCACAAAGAAATTGATATGAGGTCTACATGGTTGTGAGAAACGACTGCAAATTTTATAACTCATGTACCATCATTTTTGCCTCCCTATTTGGTGTTCTTGCGGAAGTAAAAATCACTCACTGGCATTCTTTTTTAAAATGCCAATCTTCTGCAAAATTTATTTCCTTTGAGAAATATTCATAATTATCAAAGTTCAAATTTTGGATACCAAGCGAATTTTGAGGTAAACTATGAAGTTTTCATTTTTCATGAGCAATATTAACTTTGGATTTTATATCATCTAGACGTACTTTAATCTAAATAAAGCCCTGAATAAAACTACACTGAAGAACCTTGATAACTTCACCAATCTAATCATAGATTTCTCATAGGAATGCAGAATAAAGAATTACAACAGTTAAGGAATTACGTATTATGTAGACAATGAGCATTATACTTTCTACACGCAGCTGTCTATAATTTTGTTGTAGTTGAGCAGAGCTGGATTAACCGTTGAATAAAATAAATCCATGCTTAGGGTATCAATAAAAGAGGCACCACATAAAAAAAAAAAAAAAAAAAAAAAAAAAAAAAAAAAAAAAGCTTTTAGCGGCTCAAGTAAACTAGAAGTTTTAAGATGCAACATATTTCGGGTGCTTATTGAATATCAATATTTAATAAAACTCCAAATTTTATCAAATTACGGAATTCTTTTGAACGTTTAAATTAAATGTTTCGCACGTAAAAAACTTGATTCCTACTATAATATATTCGATTTCATAAAAACAGCTTGAGCCAAATAACCTGAATAGTGAGAAAAATGCATATTATCTTTAAAAGCATTTAAAATTTTATTCTCAGTTTTTATTGAGAATAAAGGAAAACTAGTCAGAGAATCACAAAATATTGTGCAATATCAGTGTATACTATGTGCAAACGTATTTAAAACATTTCTAGAGATAACCTTTTAAGAGCAGAAAAAGTTTTAAATTTAGAAGCTATGTGGAAATAAAAGATACTGAAGATTTCCGTAGATATACATGAATGAGTGATTTACTTAGGTGTTGAACTGCAAGTTCAGATGACTGAAGACAGTAAGAAATTAGAAAAATAAAATAATGTTAACAAGAAAAAGTATTTCTGAAATTTCTAAATAATCATCACAGGTTTCGTTTGGTAGAAACAGAAGCTATATTTACTTACTTCAAAGGATACATTCGAAGACCTTTGTCCATGCCTGGGCAGTAAGATAGGAAGGCAGCTAAGGCCGTTTCAAACACCAGACCAAAATTCAGTACATGATTCCTGTAGAAAACACAGCCTTTTGAATTTGAGTTTAATTTTATTTGATATATCGATAATAAAATGTATATAAATAATAAAATATTCCGCAAAATTTGTCGTTTTCAAATTAGATTAGGATATTAATTGTACTTTTGTTACACATTATCATTTGTTACCATTATCGTTATCATGACAATGCAGTTTATTATATTGCATTGTGCACTTTACACGCATTGCAACTTGTACTAAATATTATCATACAGTTTTTTCAACGCAGAATAAATGCTTGAAGAGTTGTATTTTATTAGACTACTTGTCACTGTGGAGTAATGGAAAAAGAAATAAGATACAAAAGGCCGAAATGGATTTCTGTTTCTGCTATACATTAATTGGCATAACTTATTCGTACCAATCTGAGGAATTACATGTCCATAAGCCACTGAAGTCACCTTAAAATAGTATTAAGTAAATGAATTCGTATAAAGTGTATCTAGAAAATGTATATATCTTAGCAAATTAAAAAAATATGCTGTTTCTTTATTTAGATCATCTTCTTAAATTATGGTACACAGATTACATTATTTTTGGTGCAAATTTTACACAAAAAATTTAAATGAATGTTTCAAATGAATGTAAAATCATGCCCCTTTTGAGACATAATGCGGGGAAAATGATTATCAGCATTGTTTTTCCTTAAGGCTATAAATACACAGTAATATGACTTCTGAATAAGATTTCATGAAATAAATATTAAACTGAATGAATGATTTGAGTAAAACATTAAGATTTTCTATGCTTACTTCATTCCTTGATGTAGAATCGAATTTCTACGAGTCTTGCATATAATAAGATCTGCCCATTGTACTATGACAATAGAAGCAAAGAAGGCTGTGTGGCAAGTGTACTCCAAGATTTTTCTATCGTGGTACGTCTGAAAAGATATTAAATTATCTAAACCAATTATTTGTTTTTAAACAAATTTGGAAAAGTGTAATTCTATAATTATTCACTTTGAGAAGCAAGTATACTTTTGTAGCAAAGCTAAAAGGAACACGCTTTTACTGGAATAAGTTTAGCGGAAATTTAATTAAAAAATTGATTATATAATATTCGCACAAAATATATATATGGCACCTTAGAAGTTTCTGACAAAGGAGCCTAAATATTTATGTAAATAGGTTTCTAATAACCATCATTGCTTTTATTTCTTTTGTTAAAAGAAGCCTTTTGCTTGTTAACTTTTCATACGTGCATGGAAGATAAAAATAATTTTTTTTTTATTTTCGTCCTATTCTGCGGCTATTTAAATATACAACCATCAGCTATTGAAGTGTGTTGATTTGTCAAATTCAGGTTTCACATCAGATATGTTACTGCAAAGTTTTAAAACAAAATGCACAGAACACTGAATATTTGAAGAAAACAAATTTATCACTATTCAGTATTATATAAATTTCTTCTTCGCAGTTTATTATTTAGTATAGTCATAAAAAATCGGATGAATTATTAGAAGAGAATTCTAAGAAGGTTCTTCAGCTTTCTCGTTATTTTTCCGATTTTTTGGAACACTGTAAAATTTGCGGCCTTTAATGTAATATTTTGTTTCAGAGAATGAAGTAGATTCCAACATGCCTAATTTAGTGTATTAATGAAAGTAAATTCTTTTTCAGTCACAATTTTGACTAAACTGTAATAAAAATTCCAATGCCTGGTGGAGTGTTTATGGTCTAACACAGAAAATTATTTTTAGAGGTCGTGTCCGCTGCTCACTGCACGCTTATAGAACATGGAATTTGCTATCTATATTGCTTACTCTTCGTCAATTAATTAATAAATAAACTAGAAAGAGGCCACTAGAGCTACGATAATTTTTCGAGGTCTTATAAATGATGTTTTTTGCCTCTGGCCAAGACATATTTTTTTTTACTCATGCAACTGGTTGTTGGGTTGCAAAGCAAATTATTGGCTTATGTACCTAATAATGGCTTATTTTAAAAGGTTTGGATGACTGACTGGCATTTCAATTAAATCTTTACTATTTTGTTTTATTTTTTCAATTTTTAAATCTGGAACAGTAGATATCGATGACGACTGCATCAAAAGAAGGGTTTTTACTTATTTTTATAAGCAGATGCTATTTTAAAAGAGAAGACAATACCGAAATACATTAGGAAAAATTACCAGTACTATTAGCAGGTCCATTGGAAATGGTTTAAGAATGTCAGTCGTCCTATTTTATAGAAGCATTGTGTACACTGCACTGCATACATTTAAGAATTCTGTCATTGTTTCTATTGCTTATCTCTGCTTTTGATATGCAGCTAAGGGAATGGCTACATGTGTAATCATGGATTAGATCAGAATGCGAACCATTGGAAAAACCTTAGGCATCTATAGGATTGGGATGACTTTAATCAGCTTCATCCCAATTTCGATCGAGAATTTCTTGTGAAAGCCAATTTTACTACAACAAAATTTTCGTGATGGTATTCGATTCGACAGGCAATAAAAGTGTGTTTATTTTAAGATTGATAATAAATTCAAACCTTTTTTTTAACCCGCTCAAAATTCCAATGTTATCGAACAACTGGTTTTTAGTTTGATTTTTAGTGAACTGATTTTTAGCACATAGATGGAGTTGAATAATTTATAAGTTACATATAGTTGTTCATTTTGTTTGTATTTTCAGATTTTTCTTTAGGTAATAACATTATTTTTTTGGCCAAAGTTTATTTTACACTGAAATACGCAAATTAATAAGATGAAAGGATGGCTGACTTTTATGCCTTTTAATATCTGAAAATATTAGATCTCAAAAATCAGTGCTAAGAGAATTTTATCTCACCCATTCTTGATTGTAGGAATCAGTAAGGTCGTTGATGGCTTTCGAGTCCCATTCTTTTCTCAAACCCAAGAGTCGTCCTGGCAGGAATCCATTCTCGCTCATAATTACAAAGTAGGCAAAGAAACCAGCTGCCCCTTGTATCATTCCTATTTGACCGTACGCTATTGATATTAACCTAAGTAAATATTTCAAAAATATTAGATTTGTATTTAAAATTTTTCATGTGATAAATTTTTATTTTGGTTTCATTCACATGACACATTAAGAAAGCTATCACTAAACTTCTGCTTAATTTAGTTCAGTTTATAAGATTCCGAGTACATACGAGGAGATATATTTGCAGTTACTATCACATCTTATTTAAGAAGGATTACAAAAAGGGAAAATTTACCTTAGCTTGATAACTTGAATATAAATCGATACAAAATATGAAAGTAGTTGAGTGTTAAAGGAATAAGTATTGCTTTATCAAAAGGTAACCGGAGAAGTCTAATCAAATTTTGAAAACTTACTTGAACTTATAACTGATTTCTATCTCTATTAAAGAAATTTCCTTCTGCCTTTATGCAACAAACTCAGTATTTCCATAATGAGTGGAATGTTCAAGAGCACTCTTTAACGTAACTATATTTAACATTCACTGCTCTTTGGCTTAAAAGTTTGCTGAGAAGTCAGTTTCTTAAGTCCTACGACTGAGCATGAATTTATGCTGGAATAAAAGGCTATGAAATGGAGACTTTTGAGTTCATTAAGATCAAAGGAAAAAAAGGCGAGGAAAGGTAAGAGAGCAACTAAGATAACGTTGAGATTTCTTATTTTGATATGTAGTGTTTTCTGCTCAAAGAACGTTTCATTCCGGGTCAAATAGCTAAACAAGATATTTTGAGGGGTTTCTCCCAACAGATCTTACGTTTCTAAGTTGGAATCTAGTTTTTTCTTCTCAATAAAGTGCAAGTCACCGTGTAATACTTTCTCTCGTCTTTTTGTTTCCCAAATTTGACATTTGAAGATCTCTTCTTTCTTTTCAAGGCAAAAACCCAACCTGGAGGGTATCCATTTTGACTTCATACGAAATGTTTTAGACCGACCAGCAAAGGGTACTAGATATGATTTACTAGCAAAAAAAAAAAAAAAAAAAAAAAAGACTAAGAAACTTTGCAATCATAGTGCAGTATATCACATCGATGCATACATACAGAAGGTTAACGTGCTGGAAGGGGAAGGGGATGCAAATCAGTTTAATTCAGGTAAATTTTTCAAAATATGATTGGCCTTGTCCGTTTAATATCTTAGTCTGTTATTTGCCATGATATCACAAATTCCTTTTAGATATTTTCTGTATATTTTGGTGCTTCTTAATACTTAGATGACAATTTCTACCTGAGAAAACCTTTAATTATTTTGAGAAAGTACTACTAAAAGTATTTGCGTAAATCAGAATGTCATGTTATCGATATTAAAAGAGATGTATCTTTATCAGGCTCTGTGAGTGAAGCCATAATTTATGAAGATGTAAATATTTAATACGTTAATTTTTTGATATTAATCACAGAACTAATAGCACCAATAAACATATCCCACACTTATTTTCACATTAAATAACAGAAAGAATTACACCAATTTTCTTCTCGACATAAGCCTGATAATAATCACGAAAGTCGTTTCATATTATGCTAAAGATTTAATAAAAGAATACCGCATTACATATTCAAATATATGATTACATTATGATGACAACGATTACGTTAATGAATACATATATGTATATGTATACATATATAAGTATACATATATGTATATGTATACTTCTTTTTTTTATTGAAACTAACTTTTAAAAGAATATTCTGCTTATTGCACAGTAGCTTTGCGTCAGTTTATGTCGATGGCATTATTATTAATTTTGTTAAAAGAATATTTCCCCTTTGAGTTTAAAAAGAATTCATATTGGTATTGCAATAATTTCTGCTTGTGTTTTGAGAGGGAAAACATGCAGGAAAAAAAAACCGGGAGGTGCACATTTTATTTCTTTGTATGTATCCTACTCTATTATTTTGTTATACTGTTTATATTCTATGTTAGCAATTGCAACTAAATTCATGAAATTATCACACTGTACATTTGTGTCAACTACAATTTTTGTATGCATATATATATATATATATACATAACAACAGATGTAAAAATGAGATAATAATAATTATGTTTCTATCAGAAAAATTCAATATGAGATACTCTACCTGATTAAAATAATCATAGTATAATTTTTCTGATAAGATTAACAAAGAAGCTATTGCGGGATAATATTGAGGAAGAATAATAATGGAATATTTATAAATACTAGAGGAATTACATGTAAGTTATCGTATGATTACTTGAGATTAATACTGCATCATATTTAAAGGAAGTAAGAGATATGAGTTTTAATTAATAATAATTTAATTAATAATTAATTAATTAATTTCCATACTGGCAAAGCATGGTTTTCGTAAGCTAAGTGTTAATTTTATTTTAAATTGATCCTTCTCAGTTTCTTTAAAATTGCATTACCTTGCTCCTAATAAAACAAGAAACAGCTCTGTCGATGAATTACATATTGTATAATTAATGTAGCAGTCAGAAAATTTACTATTATGTACATTACAACCGACAGATAGCATGAAATCTTTCAACCAGAAGATCCACACAATGAATTACGAAAGATAGAAAATTAAATAAGGAGCTATTTGATTTAAAGAGGAATTTAAGTTTTTAGCATTAATAAAAGATAATTTGACGTCATTAATTTTTGGTTTCAATCTCAACTCCAGTCTTCTGTTGTAATTTATAAACCAGGAAATGAAAGTTCAGGAACATTTTTATATTTTGAGGTTATATAAAATATACATTTTTTTTATATTACTTTGCAAAAGATTACATAATATTTGTAAGCAGAGTTCTTGTTCTCTGTCTAGATCAACATAATTCCTTACCACTAATATTTTCCTTAAATTTTAGTACATATAATTTTATCTAGCTTTTATATTTTTTTTAGATCGATAAACATTAGTCATAAAATTGAATCCAAAATTGATTAACATCTTAATATCTCTAGGTTTCTTTAAAAAATACGTGCAATATTATTTTTAATGACTCTTGCTTTGAACATACCTCTCATTGACTAGTTTATCCTTGGAAGGGTCACGTGGTTGTCTTTTCATGATGTCACTCTCAGGGTGCTCGTACGCTAGTGAAATTGCTGGCACCTGTGGGACCATACTCCTATTGTCATAAATACTCATAGCTCTAGCCAAATTAGATGATACTGCATAACACCAAAATCTCTACATCATTACATATTGTATTAGGTCAAATCGAGAGTTGGTTTTATAACTTGTCTAATCCTCTTTGTTCTTTTTGTGTATAATTATAATTGAGAATATAGAGATAAAACATAAAGAAATTAAAGATGATCTGAAAACACATTTTATATTAACCTCAGTATAACTGGTTTAAATAAAATACTTTTAAGAGAGTTAGAATTATGCAATATTTTAAGTTAGTTTGAGATAGCTTAATTTTAGATACTAAGTGTTTAATATTCTTAAAGTATTAATCAATAATAAAAATTTAAAAAATAAATCAGTTTAAATTTATGACCATTATTACTTAAAATTAATATGTAACAAAAGAAAAGACTCCTTGTTAAACGCTTGAGCAGAATTTTAATACTATGTATGTCATAAAAAATCCTTTGAAAGGTGATTAACAGCTTTTTCAATGTGCTATGATTTGTAAAAAAATCGAAAGTTCTGCATTAAATAAAATCCTAATTTATTGTCTTTTCAAAGAACATATTTTAAGTTTCTCTGCTTTATTGTATTTAAAATATTTTAGGAAAATAATATTTTGTAAGATTTAGAAAGAGAAGAATAACGATTAAAATAACGAGATGCTGAGACTTCTGAACTGCGTATAAATATACTGAAATGAAAATATTTTAATAATTGAAGAAATGCAGTAATTTTGAATTTAAAGGAAAATAGTGTTTTGTAAACTTAAAAAGTAAGAAGAATCCAATTAAAAATATATACTAGAATTTAAGAACTGGTAAGTTTTTTTAATGAAAAATGAGAAATATAATAATTGCATATATGGTAATAATAAATAATAAACTTTTAAAAAGAGAAAACATCCTAATTAAGCTATAAGAAATTACTAATTCAAGTAAGTGCTAATACGAGAATAGAAGTAAAATAATCACGATAAATATTTCACGGAAACTAAATATTACAACTGTTTTAAAACATGCAAGAACTCCTCAGGATTTAGCTTTTTAATACTTTAAATTCATAAGTTATAATAAGTTAAAATTTTAGTGGCATATATAAAAATAAAAATAGAGTTAAAATAACAAATATAATTAGATGTGCATCACTTTAGCATTCTATGCGAAAACAGTTTAGAGAGAAAACTTTATTTTTTTATAGTAAAATGTAAAAATAGAAAGAATCTTATATATATATTATTTCAGTTTATATATATATATATATATATATATATATATATGAACTGAAATAATTTAAATGAAGGGAAAATGAAATTGAAAACCCAAACTCGTTACATTTATTAAATTTTAAACATGAATCTAAGGACATTAAAGTATAATTGGAAATATGAATTGGCACAAAATATTTTTAATGCAAAAACTAGTGTAAAAAATTAACTAGGATATGACAAATGTTTTAAAGTCTGCAGGAAAAAAAATACAAAGTCAAACCTCAGAGAAACGTTTAGTTTTGAAATTTGGCATTTGTTTAGTTTGTCAGTGGATTTTGGAACAGCTTTCAGTATAATTCATATTTTAGTTAGATTTTACAATACAGTTCTCAGCCTCTTATTCTAATTAGTTTTCTGCAATAGTTTCTTGCATTAGCAATTTTTGTGTAAATTCGTTACTCGAAAATTTAATATGATATTTGAATTTTCTTAGATTATATTTTGAATTTAATAAATGTTGTAACTGAAAAGAGCATAATTTGGGTTTTGGTTGTGAACTTAATTGGTCCATTGGTTTGCCTGAGAATTTGGAATAGCTCTTATACTCTAGTTAGTTTTTTTACAGTAATTTTGTTTCATTGGCAATTTTTTGTGCCAATTCATTATTCCGGAGCTGAATAGGATATTTAAATTTACTTA